GCATTTCTGACTTTTCACCGGGAAGGAAGAGTTTCCCAAAATTGAGTTTACCAACAAGAGTGTGGTAAATTTAATTTCCTAGATTTTATCTGCTGGGTGCACCTTTATACAAATCGATCTTCACGATGAAAACTGATATTTACTGCTTTCAGTCATGAAGATCGATTCGTATAAAGGTGCACCCAGCAGATAAAATCTAGGAAATTAAATTTACCACACTCTTGTTGGTAAACTCAATTTTGGGAAACTCTTCCTTCCCGGTGAAAAGTCAGAAATGCCACTTATTTGGCTCATTTCTGATTTTGTACATCGGGCATCTTTCTTCCGGGATGAACAGTTGCTGAATGAACAACAGATGCTTTCTTCATATTGTGTCAGACGTATTTTCAAGAACTTGTGCAACATTTTCACAGAAACCAGTGCATACCCAGATGTAGCACATTTAGTATAAGTTGGTTGTGAATGTGACAAGACCTTATCTAAGAACTGAACAGCAGCAACGAAAAGTAGTACTATGCTCTATCTTAAGCCTGTATGAATATTATCTACAGAAATGCTCATTTCTACGCCAGTATCGATGGAATTGACCAAAATGTTTTGAAAGTTATTTTATATGGTGCAAAAGTCGTGCAGAATGCTGAAATTCGAAAATCTTAACAGCCACTTTAGATCGGTCCGACGAGGAAAGGACACCAAGTGTTCAGTCGCTTTTTGGCCGCAAGCTAGTGGACAATAGGTAATCGAATATGCTGAATCCGAATATGACAATCATTTGTGCCGATGGGCCTCCAGAGACTGGTTTTCTGGAAAACCAGTTTTTCAGAAACTCTAAAAAATAACCAAAACCTTTCTTAAAGAGACATGATTGTAGTCCGCAGATTTCTGATTAAAATGAGACCACTCCCAGCTCTATACGACCTCTCTTTGCAAAGTTATAGAATTTACAAGAAAAGTCCTAAATTAATTTTTTCCTTATTTCCGTAGCTTTAAGCTGACAATTAACATTTAGGGCTTTTCTTGCAAATTCTATAACTTTGCAAAGAAAGGTCGTATAGAGCTGGGAGAGGTCTCATTTTAATCAGAAATCTGCGGACTACAATCATGTCGTCGTGAGAACTAAAAATTAACAACACCACTCGACTCAGCATGGCCAGTTATCCTTATCATGACCCATTTTAGCGTGGTCTAAGGTCATACGGCCGAAATCGAGGCTTGCGGGAAAATGCTTACGGCTCCTGAACGGAACAAGCTAACGAGTTTGCCCTTGCGTGGTTTCGTAGAGGACAGCATGGTGGATCGCACACATCCAGAAGAATCAAAATTTCTAATTTGCGTGAGAGAGATTTTGTAGGGACCTCCTGGAAATCCCCCAAAGATCTTAGAAAGCCAAGTGATTATTACATGTCTGCATGTTCTCAGAGCTCCTCTTTTCAACGACGAAAACTCGAACTCGCTAGCTAGTAACGTTCCTGTGTAACCGAGTCCATTCTATTTCGACATGGACAGTACCATGTTGACTTTAGGTAGTAATTTTAATCATGAGAGAAAAACTTTACCTCAACAGAAGACCACCCTCAAAATTTTGAGTTGGCGGAGAAAATAAAAGATCGTCTGGTCTTCTATACGGAGAGAGTTTAATACACAAGAGTAGAGTCAACATAGGCTACCAAATCACTGTAGATTTGACGAATCAGTAAAGTAGAACATCCGACATCAAAAGAAGACAAACCGAACTGCACGATGGATATTACTGAATTAATTGTATCGTTATACTTTTCAACAGAGATCGATTTTGATGCATTCTATAACCTATGTATATTCATTTTTGTTTATTTCTAGTTGTTTCGAATGTGATTTAACATTTGACTTCTCTTTATCAATTAAAATTTCAAAATCGTATAAAATCGCTCATCAATTATTAACGGAACAGTTACAAGAAACATTTACAAAATTATTAGAAAATAATTACTATACACAAATACAAAATTTAATAACACAAATATTTGAAGATCCTTGGTGTATATCATTTATTGATCAATTTCTCGAAAAATTATTTTTTCATCATTTAGCTATAAATGAAACAATGTTAACAACATTTTCTATTGATCAACATCAAGAATTAATAAGAATATTTTTAAAAAATCCAGAAAAATGCTTTGAACGTGTAAAAAAACTATTAGAATTAGATATAGCTTATATTTATGTTGATTATGTTCAACAACGTTTATTATTTTCAAAAAATGTTGAATATATTGATCATTTAATTCAAGATGAAAAATGTCTAACATTAACCAAATTAAAACAATTAAATGGTAATGTTGAAACAAAATTGATGCGTTTTGAAGATAAAAAATTACCTGGATTCACAACGGTCGAGAATTTATTATTTTATGCAAATTATTTAACCAATAATCAACAACTAAAAATTACAAATATTTTGCATAATGATTATTTAGAAGATAAAACCGTATCAATGTCAAATAAATTCAAAGCTATTAAAGTTTTAAAACATCTTAAAACCACATATCCTCTTACATTAAAATGGAGTGAAAAAATTGCAACAAAAATTCCATCTGTATCGAGTAATGTAAGCCGTCGTGGACGTGGTGCTAACTCACAGTCATTTGCTGATATTGCTTTATGTCTACCAGCCATGTTGGATTTATTTAAATCTGATATTTTGAAAATATTCGATAGTTTAATGATAAAAATAAATGCCAGTAATGCAAAGTACGTTAGCGATGCTATGTTGGTTATATCGCGGAAATTAATTGATGAACAATTTTTAGGATTATATCTGAAATTTGTTAAAAGTGAACAATTCCCAAAGTTAGGTTAGTAAGTGATGATCAACAAATTCTTATAGACATAATATTTTCATTAGAAATGCTCTTCGTTAATAATGACAGAGATAGAATGCTACAATGAAAGTTAAGAGTACTCTGCTTCAAATTAAGGCTTCCCGTGGAAGTTTTGTTTATAAATCAAAATAGATTCAAGACGTTTTATTATACAAAAATGAAGAAATCATGAAGACTAGTGCATGGTTGAAAAAACGATGTCGTGATTTTGGAGATGAGTCAAGTTTGATTGAAGATGCATAGTAAATGGTAGTTTAGGTGTAGAAGCGTTACTTTCAATTATACACAGCACACCTTCAGACTCGAAACAGAAAATTAATGTAAACATTTTGAGAGATTTTAAGCACATTATTCTTCATTTTCGGATTCTCAAATTTTGTTCCTGATGAGCGAACGTTCCCAAGTGATCAAAAGCTGCTTCAGTAAAACATAAGAATACTGCACAACAGAAAATTTGCAAAAGTTTTGAACACGTTTAAACGCGTCAATTGAAAAATCTAGCATTACCATGCGTTTTTCCCTAGACAACGTCGAACCCTTTTAATGCGTTGAAAACGTTTGTAATTCCAATGCATTTAAACGCGTTTATTTTTCGAAAAAACTCTTAAAACTGCTTACGACGCGTTGGAAAAACGTGGAAATTGGTTTCAACGCGTCAAAAATCACGATTTTAAATGCGAAACTCGTAAAAATCAACGCGTTTAAATGCGTTGGAATTACAAACGTTGTCAATGCCTTAAAAGAGTTCGACGTTGTGTAAGGGAAACACGCGTAATAGTGATAATTTTTTCAACTGACGCGTTTAAACGCGCTCAAAACTTTTGTAAATTTCCTGCTGTGTGCTATCTCGATCCTTTTACAAATACGTATCTTTCCAAACGGTGATTTAGTTTTACTTTCTTTTACTCGATGAAAAGATGCAGACACGATATGATAGTTAGTGGCGTAAGAGTGTTTCTTCAGTCACATCACATTTATTCAAGATAAGAAGTTACAAAGAGAAATCACACTCGGTTCAAGAAAGAGTTGATCAATCGGATCATCTCATTGAGCGTCGAAAGCAGATTCAGTTTATCGACGGTAGCAGTAGGAAGATAATAGAGACAGTCATGGGTGTCCCAGTAGAAGTAGTAGTATCAGTAATTTCAAGCTTTTCTTCTCTTCCTTAGATCTTGTCAGTTCATTTGTTTTGCAGAAAAAATTAATCCTCAATTCTCTGCAAGAATTAATCATAAATTTTAATCTACAAATGTGTATATAAGAAATATATGAAAGGTCCAAGAATGGCAAACTTCGTAATTTGTTTTCTATACATATACATTTTCTTGGTTTTATGTGCATTAAACGGTATCAGAGATGCTTTTTCATATTTTTAAGTGTGCCCTTTCTTGTGATGTAGGTGAGTCCGTCTATATCGGATTATATAATACAAATCGGTTCCTTGATAACCGGTCGAAAAAAGTCGAATATGACTAGCTACTTTTCCCTCATCATGCAAGAAAAAAAAACTTACGAGGGAAGTACCCCAACTGATAAATCGCTTTTTCAACGAAACCGAGTGGACTATAGGTAGTCGACGATGTTGATTTCGAATATCACCATGAACGCTGCCGCTAACCCTTCAAAGACCGGTCTTCT